GGCGGCAATGCCTGGAACAATGCAACGACGGAAAGCTCTTGCAGAGCGCAAGCGCGGTGCACCATCACCGTCCATCCATCCCGGCCGGCCGGCCGGCAGCGACGCCGGCGGCCACGGGCAAGTGGCGGCGGCGTACCCGAGCCGAGAGGCGACGACAGAGGCCACCAGCCCCCAGGTGGCGCCTGCCTGCCACCCGAGGCGTCGCTCTTCTGAAGATTGATTTTAAGTACTTACTGTTGGCTGGACAGGACAGACAAGCTTTGCCCCGGCGGCCGACAGGAGCCATCGGGGAGGTCAGGATATTCACGCTCGCCGTCAGAATCAGAACCCCTCCGTCCGTCCTTTCCCCCAGACTCACTCAGACTGGCACGGCACGTTCGGAAACGACGGGGCATCCATCCAAGTCCACTGTTGGACGAAAAGAGGCAGTGCCCGCCGCCGCCGGCCGGATCAGTCGAGATCGACGATGAAATCCAGTATCATTTCACATCCACTCGCTCACTGCTGCATGGCATTGGCATGGCAATGGCATGGGCAACTTGATGCATGCTCGGCCAATCCTGCCTGTCAGAACCACCGCGCGCATGCATGGTGATGGAGAGGTCGTTAAGCAGCACTCCATCCAGGGCCCGGCCGCATGGGCGCCGGTGATGAGCCGGCTGACATAATAAACCGGAGAGTGCCTACGTACTTCATGGCAGCCCATGGCCATAGCCATGCTTTGGCGCCGACTACACATCTCATCTCATGGGCAACACAGCCTTTGCGTCTCTGACGATTTTTACAGTGGCTGCCGTGCTGTTGCCCCGACGACCTTACTTACCTTTGCCCGACAGGAGCCATGGGGAAGTTGAGGACATTCACGCTCGCTCACACTCGTCCGTCAGAAACTCAGAATCCATCTGTCCGTCCTTTGCCCAGACTGACACGGCACGTACGGCACAGCACAGAGACGACGCCATCCGTCCGTCCATCCGTTCATCCATCCATCCAAGTCGACTGTTGGCCGAGAATGAGGAGTGGCAATGCCTGCTGCTTCGAGATCGATGACTGTCTGTCTGATTCAACTTCACTAGTCGATCGACCGGCCGCATGGCATCGGCATGGGCGCCATCATGCTCTTCAGCAAGTGGGCGGTAAGGGCAAGTAGTGATCCTGTCTGTCAGAGAAGCCGTGGCATGGCATGGCAGGGCAGAGAGATTTTTCAGCACTGCAGCCGTGGACGGACAGTGGATAGCCTGACCGGCCGGCATAAACCGGGAAGAGCGTGTGCTTCATGGCGCCACACCCGTGCCCATGCTTTCACGCCGCCCGCCGTTTGCTAGTAGCTTTTACTCCACAGATCTAAGGCCAACTTCAACCTGCCGCCCCAAATAGACACCCATTTGGTCCGCTTTTTATTCGTCTGGGTCAGCTTTAAGGTGCGGCGTACGGTCCTGCTCGGCCAAATCAGGTGGGTGCACCCAACCGTCCCGGCTCATTTGAATGTTGTCCAATAAACACATCTTACACAAATAAATCTAGAATTCATAGCCGACGGCCATGGTTCATATGCCGGCATACTTGCCAGCGGCCTGCATACATGCAAGCACTCAAAAAACTCGTCTCTCTCGGCCGTAGTTCATGCCGACATACAAAATGATCGCGTCTCACCTATAGCTCATCCATCTATCTCGAGCATCTCCTTTTGTTTCTACTCGAATCAAACTCTTTACCTTGGGGACACCTTGCTCAAGTCGACCATCATGATCTTCATTTTCCTTCTAGATCCGCGTGAGCTTCACCTCGTTTGCTTTTGTCCGGGCAATGCTCTGCTTGATCTCGAGCTTCTTATTTTGTATGTCAAAGAAGGCCTTTATTTGCTCCTCTTTCTCTTGGCACTTCCTCTCCTCCCTCGCTTCCTTTTGGGTCATGAACCCCTTCAAAGTTTCTTGCAACACGGGTGTCGAAGCATCACACTTGTCATCCAACTTGGAGTTGTTCTTCCCCCTCGGCCGCTTCTCACCTTCACTTGGTTCAGCAATCGTCGTCGCCCCCGCCCTCACCTTTCTTTTGCGCGGCATATTGCTCCTTAAACTTTGGGCACTCAAAAATCATCGTCCAACAATGGGTCAAGGTGAATGGCATGTCCCTATGCTGGGTCTTGAAGGTCTTCAAAGATTGGAATGCCTGCAAATGAAGATAAAAGCAACAATATACATTGATATGCAAATGAGATGAATGCATCAACCACAAATATGGACCAGGGGAAGCAATTGTATACCATGTCTTTGACGCCTAGGCCAGTCATGGGACGACCGGTGATGTTCTCAAGGGAGGCACAAAACTTGATGCACTCCAATTGAATGAAAGCCAATCTCTTTGCGATGAACACGTCATCACAGTTACTCTCAAATTTGTAGGGCTCAAATTTCCTACGTTCATGGAAGTATGTATGAACCCTCCTCCAGAACATTGAGCCTTTTTGCTCGGCGTCGGTCTTGGGATCTTGTCCAATTTCCATCCATGCTTCGAAAAATCAACTTTTCCTCATCTTGTGTGTAGACTCCCGTCTGGATGCATTGTTGTCGCCTCCTTTGTGCATTTACTTGGTGAGAGAGCTCCTCGTGGAACAATGGCTCATCGTCGATGTCCACACCATCTTCTTTCCCTTGGTTCTCATGGTTGTCGATGTCTTCTTGCCCACGGACGTCTGTGTCTTCTTTCCCTTCCGTGTACTGGCCCTGGCTGTCTTGGCTTTGGGTCTCATCGCCATCGTACACTTGGCCACCCTCAGATCCTGTCCTCCATGAATTCATGATAGTAGGTCGAGTCTTCATCAGCCGGCGTCGGGGTCGGCGGTTCGTCGAACAGGTTGTGGGCATCGGGAAGTTGCCCGTAGGGATCTCCCGCGGATGCTTCCTTTGCGTCCCGGTGGACTGGCTGGCCACATGTGTGGCATTGAGGTCAAGGGCCGCCACCACCGGGAATGTCTGTGTGAGTTCACTCACTTCCGGCGAGCCACCCCAAGGTGACTCGAAGAAGCACGGCGGTCTGGCGCCGCACGGCTTCAGCTACGACGACTGCCGCAACGACTGTTTTTTTTTGTCTGTCGTGACCTTCCTCTAGCCCTCTTCGCCGACTAGGCAGGCGTCTCCTTCGGAGTGTGCACCTTCTTCGGCTTCTTCTTTGGGTGCATGGTGCCGGTGGCCACGCCTTTCCCGTGGCGGTCGGGAAGAAGGTGGTGGCGAGGTTTGGCGCGTCGACCATGGTGCGAGGGCGGGAGGGTTTAGGGAGTGAGAATGGGAAAACGAGGTGGTTGTGCCATCGATGAGTGGGCCAGGAGGAGGACAAGTGAGGGCATTGCGGGCGTATGCGCCTACACAAACCCGGCCTAAATTTTGGGCCGGAAATGCATTGCGACGGACAAAAAAAACAGACAGATGTTCCTTTGCGTCCCCGCATTGGGCCGTGTTTTTTGTTCGCGGACCCAAATGGACGAGGTCGGATGAAGTGAGTCGTCGTATTGGAGTTGGCCTAAAGGAAGTAATACTAGCAAACATTGGAACCACTTGGCAATCTCTCTCTCACACACACACACACACATGGCCTAGGATGTGGCAGCGTGGTTTGGCGCGTCGACCATGGCGCGAGGACGGGAGAGTTTTGGTAGAGAGAATGGGGAAATAGGGTGGTTGTGGCACCGGCCACCGATGAGCGGGCCAAGGGGAGGACAAGTAAGGACGTTGCAGGCGTTCGCACCAACACTAAACCGGCCCAAATTTTGGCCGAAAATGCGTTGAGCGGACAAAAAGAAACAGACATATGTCCGTTTGTGTCGCCTCGTTGGTTGGCTGCGGCGGCCCAAACGGAGGAAATGGGTCGTCGCATAGTTGGCCTACTAAACAGAGCCTTTGGAACTATTTGGCGATCACTGAGAGAGGGAGAGAAAGAGAGACCTGTTCTTGGTTCAGAGCTGGAGGTCAAGGTCAAGAAGTTTTCCGAGGTGTAAATTGCACGGCCAAGAAAGTACAGTGCTACTGGTAACTGGAAAGGCCAGTTTCACCTTGGTGAAGTCAGGATATCATCACTGTCAAATAATAAGTGAGGGAGGGGCAAGGCAATGCAGGAGGTAAAAAGGTCAAGATCTGAGCACTCACTCACCCAGCCAGCTTTAATCAATCAAAGGTATTGAGAAGGAGACACAGGCAGGCAGGCATGAGTGAGTGAGAGGTAGATGAGCCCCATACCATCACCATCACCATAACCATACCCAGGCTGAGGCTCAGGCTGGTCCCTGCAGTTTTAGGGATCCCATCAGACCCCAACTGCAACTGCACCATCCCTATCTATCCATCCTCATCATCTAGAGGATGGTGAGAGAGGTCCCCCACCCCCACCTGACCATGTCCACCACACCTCACCAGCACACTGAAATGGAGGCGTCAATGTGCACAGTACAACACCATTAAACTCACACACAACAACATGTAACAACAAATGAAATGAATCCAATATGTGCACTCCATCCTCAAGATCCAACCCTAGCTAGCTCCCCGCTCGCCCCCTTCGATCGACATGCCGACCGGGGCGAGGGAAGTCGAAACTGGCCAAAAACATATGTTCATCCTCTCCTATATATTTACTTCACGGAGGGCTCCGGAACAGCGAAGATAAACGGCATCAAAGAGGTCTTGGATGCACAGACCCCACCACAAGGATTGCATAATTCAGCCAAGGAAGGCGGCCCGTCTTCCCCCCGGGCCTGCTGCTACAACACCGTCGACGCTGGCGGGATCTTGGAGGACCACCCGGGCTACATACAACTTATGGTCCACAAGCATGTTAGCACAAGAAACCAGCCATGTGACGCTTTGTACCGTAACAGTATATCTGGACGAGGGTCAAGCTCGGGCCAGCCAGGCTTCTCGAGGCGGGGCATCAAAGCATTCGCCGTGAAGTCGAGAGGCGCCGTGCTTCTGGGAAACCCACTGATGAAGCAATGCCGAGAAGACGCGATGTCAAACTTGCACCGGCAAGCCATAGTTCTGGAATGACCTGATGTGGCCGTCCCAGCTTGCGGTGACTATGACCTGGCCCCAGGCATGTGTGGCTGCATTCTGGCAAGACGCCTTCAGGAACTTGTACTGAGATTTACGCAAAGTAGATGCCGTCGCGGAGTTGGATGCCAGATGCTCCTCCGGCCACGTGGCTGATCCCCTTGGAGCAGACTCCGCGAGGAACGCCCTGCTAAGAGTGAAATTGCCCGATGGTAACCGGAACATGTTGTCATCTTCGAGGCAATCTTCAGTCTGGCAGCGTGATGTGCTACTGTCCTGTATGTCACAGAGGTCGCCGGACACTTCTTGCCGTAAAGAAGGGATGTTGCAGGCCAGTGAAATAGAGTTCCTTGATTGTGAGGCGTTCCACGGTATGGCGATGGAGACATCGTTGCTGAAAAAACGCTCGTATGACCACACTGTCTTCACGCGGCTTGTGACTGGGGCAAGTTGGTTCACATGATTCCACATGTAGATACGGGAGTCGTCACTAGCAGAGATTATGTGATCTCCGTCTGGGGTAAATGATGCAGCAACTTGGCTTGAACTTTGCAATCCTGAGAATGGGAGATAGAAATGTGAACTTCAGGGTCACGGATACTATGAGTTAACCCAAGACAAGAATATGGTGTCAGTACCTTTGTAGTTGGAAATTATATGAACCCCATCAAGAATGCGAACTTGTGAGTCACCAGATGTTACCATCAACTTCTTTGGATCAGATGGGCAGTACTGTCAACACAAGTTTTGAAGAAAAAGATAATGTAAGAATCACTCACAACAATAAGTAGATTCCAAATAAGTATCACAGAAAAAAAGATCCTGTGCAGTCAACAGATCTTAAGACAGTACCTGGAAACCAACTATTCTTTTAAGTGGAGACTTCTTCCTGCCATTCAGAGAGACCTGAGATTCCAGTTCTAGACGATTTTCTGTGTAAAGAAGGAAAATAAGTTAGAAATAAGATACTGATATGATTTAGCAAACAATGAACACTTCAGCATATTAAAAGAATATCAGATAAAGAAATTAAGATTCTTTGTGTCCCACAAAATCGATCGGGTTAACAATAGTTTGCTGCCTTACTAGCAAGTTCAATTATTTTTACTAGCCTTTTCCAGAAACACTGAATTGATGGTATCATAATTAAAATTCTAAATATGAACTTTCAAAGCAACGATGGTAAATGTAAGGTGTTATGTGTTCTCCAAGATCTATATATAAGCAGGACAACATAATTACTCCAAAGGAGCATTATAAATTCTGGGATTCCATTTTACCAAAAAGTAATATTTTACCTACTGTTCACTCAATGACAGTACAGGAATACCCACATTCAGAAATACAGAGTTTTGACTAGAATTTTCATTATTATTTTTTCCATTTCAATCTTAGGAGTTGGAATTCCACTCCCGCCAAAACAGAAGCCACTGTTGTATTACATCAACATGACAATGATCCTATTAAGTAATACATTGTCGACAGCACATGCCACCTATTCAACGCCAAATATACAGAGTATTTCTTTTGTTTCGCTAATTTTCCAACTGTTGGATGCCTATATTTAATATCCGTTAATGGCACATTCTTGTTTATTCATCAGGACGGAGAGGAGCGCAAACAGGGAAAATCAAGGAAACAACTGTTGGATTAGAGTTGATGAAAAATCTCTGAGCGTTATCTTCTTTCTAATAAAACCAAGGAAACTACATCCATAAGCTCAAACAGGATGACTTGCGTAGCAACTAGAGGATAGCAACAATCCTGCTTTCGCTATTTTTATAGCGAGGACAAAATGAGGTATCCCTATCATTACTAATGTGCATATACATTTTGGATGTCCTCATGAAAGCAAACGATATCGACATATTAACAAACAAATGAGGATGTCGACTGAAGCTACTATTTCCAAAATCATTAGTTTGCCAATCATCAGGAAGTACAACTCAAATCTCACAAACAAACCAACTCATGATTACCTGATGCATCGTAGTAGCGGCAATTTCCTGTTATGGTCCCAACCACTACCCCCTGAATGAAACCAGCAGAAATATAAGCATCTCAGTGAATCAACAAATGGTCACTTGGTAAAAACAGGCCAGTACAAGGATATTCAAGCGAACCTTTCCATCAGGCCGGTAACAGACTGCGGTTATGATCTCTTTGCTATTAGCCCAGTCTACCACTAGGCATTTACGAACATCCCAAATGCGAACCAATCCATCGATACAACCGCTGATAAAATAATTGTCACTCGTAGGGTGAAACTGAACACATGTCACTGCATAATAGATAACAAAGTTGATGTCAGCATCATATGGTGAAGAGCGGCAGGTTGTGAAATGGATTCGCTCATGGGGGCGAAGGGTTTACCGTAGTTATTGTGGAAGAAAACCTTGAGACAACTGTTGCACCCGACCCGCCACAATCGAGCAGTTTTATCCATAGATGCAGAAATCAAGTCCTGCACAAAACCAAGTGTACATAGATGATTAGGTGAGCATAACAACATCTGTGGTAGATCCTTCAAGTGCATGGAAACACACTGTCTGGACTGCAACTCACCCCATTTTTGGACCATGAGAGATCCAAGATGGCATCATCATGCCCATGGAATTCATGCACAGGGACCTGAGACAGCGCAAAGGTGCGGTGAGGGATCACAACGCAGGCCGGATCTGCTTGCCCCTTTGAGCTCTTGTCCTGTTTGCTCTTGGTCCCTTCGCTGGAGTTGACAGGGGCCAGTTCAGAGTTCTCATTGACAGTGAAGAACACACACAACGGATCGTCCTCGGCGAAGTCGAGTTCGTCGGGCCTCTCGCCTTCCACCACCCGCCACACCCGCACCACGCCGTCCTCGCCTCCGGTGGCCAGGTACTGCCCGTCGGAGCTGAACTTCATGGCCACAATGGGGCCCTTGTGCGCCCTGATCTCTTGGCCCCTGTACACAGCTGACAATTCCTTTGACCGCTTCTTGTATGGCCTGACCTTGACCCTGTCAAGGGCCTTCCCGGGCTTCCCGGCGCAACTCCGGCAGGAGCTGGAGGAGGTCGAATTCGCCTCCTCGTCGTCCTCGGCGTCGACGACGCAGGCGCCGATGCCCAGCCTCCGGAGCCACCCGAACCGCCTCCTCCGGCGGCTCTTCCTCGCCGCTAAGGACTTCTCAGGGGTGGAGGGCTCGTCCGAGGAGTCGTCCACCCGGCGCATCATCTCGCGGATGAAGGGGGAGGAGCCGGAGATCCTCTCGAATTCCGCGGCGGTGACGGTCCGGTTGGAGCGGCGCTCCCTGAGGCTCCGGAAGCTGCCGTCCTTGCCCAGCTCGTGGACCACGAAGACCGTGCCGTCGTCCAGGTTCTTGAACACGCACTCCAGGCCCTCCTCGCCGCCGCCGCCGGCGCTTCGGCCGGGCGCCCCCGCCTCCTCGTCCCCCGCAGTCCCGCGCGCGAGACGAGGGGCGGGCGAGGCCGGCGCCGCGCCGGGGCTCCCCAGGACGACGATCTCCTCGCCGGCGCGGGGCCTGGAGCGCGGCTCCGATTCGGCGGGATCCAGGAGGCCCAGGGAGCGGACGAACCGCTGGCGGCGCTCCTCGACGCTGAAGGGGCCCGTGGCCCAGACCTCGAGCAGGGCCCCGCCGCAGAGCCAGCCCTCGCCGTCGCCGCTGTGGCGGCCGGAGCTGGCCGGCGAGGCGACGGAGGGCGGCGAGATGGCCTCCCTGGAGTCGAAGAACTCCTCCTCGCCCGCGTCCGCGTCCAGCGAGCGCGCCCGCGCCATGGGCACGCCCGTACGACCAAGCGGAGGTGGCTCCACCACAACCAGTTCAGCCCCGCCGGCAGGCCGCCAAGAACCGAGCTTTAGCGGAGCGGGGGCGGGCGAATCCGGCAGCGGATCTCGCGGCGCTGGCTCCCGGATCTCGGTGGAGTCCGTCCGTCCGTCCGTCCGTCCGTCGGGTCCTTTATGGCGCGCCCACTGCGTGGCAGCCTCTGCCTGCCGCTGGCGTCCTGCCACGGCCCTCTCTCTTTCTCTGTCCTGTTGGGGGACGGACGGATGATGCAGTGGCAGTGGTACTACCCCGCCGCTCCCTCGCTCTGCTACCTCCCGTGGGGTTGGGTGTCAACAAGGAGCGCAAGGGAACCAACCATCCACCACGACACCCAAAAGCGAGTAGAGTGGGCGGACGGAGGGAGGAGGGGAGCAGCAATAAAAGGCCACGATAGCTAGCTAGCCAGCACAGGAGCGAGCGAGGTAGGGGAGGGATCGGTTGGGGGCGGGGTCGGGGACGGGATCCATCCCAGCCGGCCCGGTAAAAAGCCGCTACCCACCACAACGGGACCGACGGCTGACTGCTTTCCCTTCCCCCTCCTTCCCCTCTCCTCCCCTTTCCCCTTTCCTTCCTCCATGCTCACTATTTCTATGTTTCTATTCTACTAGCAATATTTCTCTCATGTAAAAGAAAAAGGAATATTTCTCTGATGATGAAAAATTGTCTAATTTGGTTTGTTTGGGATTGTGAGATGGTGTTAGGTGACCCGTCTCCGACTTTTCAATTCAAGAGGTTTCAGAGGCCAAGTCTCATGTTTCTTTGTTTGTTTGTTTGTTTGTTTGCTTCTCTAAGCCGTGACGGGCTATGAAGGTCCGCGTCGTTTTCTGCCATCCCGTGATGATGATGCGTGCAAAACGATCGTATTGAAGTAGTGCTTTTTTAACGTGGCGTGGGCCGTGGAAGACCCATTGAATAGCGGCAACGATAGAGAGTCTAATGTTTCCAAGACTAAGAGCGTGCGTTAGTGTGTCATTTATATTGTGTGTCGTCTTCCATCTGACTGGTCAGCTATCGAATTGACTACGTACATTCATTCCCCATGACTGTATAGTGGAGGTGGAATTTACGGCCACAAATCGATGCTACAAAACAGAAGTAAAACCCCAAATTAATACCATGTAGAGGGTGTGGACCGTCGAAAACTCACAGAATGGCCCACAACGGAACCGACGGCTGAGCCTGACGCCTCCCCCATTCACCTTCTCTTGCTCCATGGAGCGTTTCATTTCAACGTCTATGGGCATTTCAGCGATAAATGATCGCTGGATTCTTTTCTTTCTTTTGCATGAGAATAATTGTCCAATTCATTATTATTTGGGATTGCGAGATGGTTGGGTGACTTGCCGCTTGACTTTTCAAGAGGTTTTAGAGGCCAAGTCCCGTGTTTGTTTCTCTAAGCTGTGACTGACGGTTATAAAGGTGTGCGTCGTTTTCATTGATGTCATCATGATGATGTGTGCAAAACGATATTTTGTAGTAATGATTTATAAGCGTGGCATGGACTATCGAAGACCCAAAGAATGGCAGCAACTATAGAGCCTAGCGGTTGCAAGACCATGAGCGTGTGTTAATGTATTGTTTTATATATTTTATGGCTTCTTCTGTATCGCCAGTCAACTCAACGTATTCATTATGTACACTGTATGTATATAATAAATACTGGAGATGGAAGTGACTGCACCAAATAAGTACTACAGATAGAAAGGGTGGCGTGGACCGTAGAAGACCCGGAGAATGGCAACAACAATAATGAAGGTTAAGTTTTCAAAACTAAGAGCGTCGATTTCCATCTTTTGATATTTTACAGTATATATATATTCATTTGATTCGTCTACCCATATAGATTATGTTTTAGATAAATGTAAAAATTTAGATAAAAGGACATACCAATTATGTTAATTTGCCCAATTTATTATTAAAGACGCAAATGGCGACCGCGAGTTAATATTAGTGATAGAAATAAGACCCCAATGTAATATATACTATACAAAGGGCTTAGGATAACAAACTAATAGTGTGACAGAAGTAAGAACTGTGCCCCGGATAGCTCACGATAGCTAGCTAGCTAGCACAGGAGCGAGCGAGGTAGGGGAGGGGGCCTTGATCAATCCCTGGGATCGGTTGGGGTCAGGGTCGGGATCCATCCCAGCCGGCCCGGTAAAAAGTCGCACCCACCACAACGGCTGACTGCCTTCCCTTCCCCCTCCTTCCCCTCTCCTCCCTCTCACCTTTCCTTCCTCCATGCTGACTATTTCTATGTTTCTATTCTACAAGCAATATTTCTCTCATGTAAAAGAAAAAGCAATATTTCTCTGATGGTGAAAAATTGTCTAATTTGGTTTGTTTGGGATTGTGAGATGGTTAGGTGACCTGTCTCTTGACTTTTCAATTCAAGAGGTGGTTTTAGAGGCCAAGTCTCGTGCTTGTTTCTTTCTCTAAGCCATGGCAGGTTCGAAGTTTCGCATCGTTTTCGGTCATCCCGTGATGATGATGTGTGCGAAACATCGTTTTGTACCAATGGTTTTTTAGCGTGGCGTGGACCGTGGAAGACTCGGGGAATAGCGGCAACGATGGAGAGTCTAATATTTCCAAGACTAGGGGCGTGCGTTAGTGTGTCATTTATATTATATTATGTGTCGTCTTCTGTCTGACCGGTCAGCCATCGAATTGACTATGCACATTCATTTTCCCTGACTATATAGTGAAGGCGGAATTGACGACCACGAAACGATGCTACGAACAGAAGTAAAATCCCAAATTAATACCATACTAAGGATGGTGTGGACCGTCGAAAACTTGAAGAATGGCAATATCAGGAAAAGTTAATGTGCCTGCAACCCGCAACAGAACCTACGGCTGAGCCTGACGCCTCCCCCATTCACCTTCTCTTGCTCCATGGAGCATTTCATTTCGACGTCTATGGGCATTTCAATGATGAATAATCGCTATCGCTGAATTCTTTTCTTTCTTTTGCATGAGAATAATTGTCCAATTCATTATTATTTGGGATTGCGAGATGGTTGGGTGACTTGTCTCTTGACTTTTCAAGAGGTTTTAGAGGACAAGTCCCGTGTTTGTTTCTCTAAGTTGTGGCGGTTATAAGGCGCATGTTGTTTCCGTTGATCCCATCATGATGATGCGTGCAAAACGACGTTTTTTAGTAATGATTTTAAGGGTGGCATGGACTATCGAAGACCCGAAGGCCAAGTAATAGTGGCAACAATAGAGCCTAACAATTGCAAGACCACGAGCGTGTGTTAATATATTGTTTTATATTTTTTGGCTTCTTCTGTATCACCAGTCAACTAAACATATTCATTATGTACACTTATATATACATAACAAATATTGGAGATGGAAGTGACTGCAACAAATAACTACTAGGGATAGAAAGGGTGGCGTGGACCGTCGAAAACACAAAGAATGGCAACAACCGTAATAAAGGTTAATTTTTGAAAATGAAGAGCATCCATTTCCATCTTTTGATATTTTACAGTATATATTTTTTCATTTGATTTGTCTGCTCATATCGATTATGTTTTAGATAAAAGGTAAAAAGTAGATGAAAGGACATAATGAAGACGTAGCTACCGCGAGTTAATATTAGTGATAGAAATGAAAGCCCAATATAATATATAGTATACATAGGGCTGAGGATGACAAATTAATATTGTCACAGAAGTAAGAAGTGTGCCCCAGATAGCTCACAACTTTGCATAAAAGGGCTTTGATAAAATATTATATTTTTACAGACCAACAAGAAAATGTACTTTCACTTAGATGAGCGTAAAATATAGCTATAATATTTGCAAGACTCGTGACATGTTTATAGGTATGCACACAAGAAAAAACAGTTACACAACAACAACTAATCTGCAGCCATCCTAAAAAAAATCCAGCCAATTATGTAAATCATGTTGTACTACCAAGCAAACTTCAACCTATCTCGCCTATGAGATGCACATGTATGTTCCCTTCAAAAAAAAAAGATGCACATGTATGTTACTCCATTTGCCACACAGTACACTTTGTGACAATGAATGGGTATGGAGTATCTGTTCTTTTTCGTGATGAAGTTAATGACATTTAATTGACTTAAATAAATCATGAGATGTGCAAAATGATATTATGGTGATTATTATAAGGTGGCGTGGACCGTTGAAAACACAGAGAATAGCAGCAACAAGTCCAATATTTTCAAGATCACAAGCGTGCATTAGTGGACCTCTTATACTCCCTTGGATCCAAAGTAAATGACGCGGTATCCATACAGTGCACAATGTATAAAGGTTGCGACATTTAATTTGAATCGGAGGGAGTATCTCATATCATCTCTCTACTTGATTCTTTTTTTTTTGCGAAATCTCTCTACATACTTGATTCGTCGGTTCATATCAGGGAAGTTAATTTGTCTAATTTATTATTGAAGAGACTATGAATTAATGCTTTGGATAGAAATGAGAACCCAATTTTATATACGGTGTAACATATAAATGGTGTACATGTCGAAATGAGAAATTAATGTTTTGTACAAGGATTATACTTGGAATAAATCAAAGTGACAAATTAATATACTCCATCTGTTCCTAAATATAAGTATTTTTAGAGATTCCAATATGGACTACATACGGAGCAAAATGAGTGAATCTACACTCTAAACTATGTCTATATACATCCGTATGTAGTTCATATTGAAATCTCTACAAAAACTTATATTTAGGAACGGAGGGAGTAGTATAAAGGGTGTAGGTCATAATGTCAAGTTAACAGTGGACACGGAAGTAAGAACTGTGTCCGAAACAACCCAAAAGTTTTACATAAAAATGTAAGGCTTTGGTAAAGGTGTCGTATATTTTTCAAGAAACCGACATGAGCATTACAATTTCACGGGGATGAACAAAAGTATAGTCACAATATTTTGCAAGTCTGGTGGCGTGTCTAGAGATATGTA